CAAATAGCAAATCCAATATAAATTGTATTTCATGGCAGTTTGTGATTTCTGAGTTGTGCAGCCGTAGAAATGGTAAGAAATTCTTTCCTTGTTTTCAGATGACAACAATTTTCAAAGAATGTGCAAAAATGCAAATTGTTCTAATTCAAAACCTGATTTTATTTGGCGAGAGTAAGGCCAGAACTGGCTTAATTAACAAACATTTTGTTAATGCAACTCTGTTAATGCAACTCAGGCTTGAAGCACTGGATTCATAGAGGAAAACCAATTGCAGTTGCACATGTTTTCATTAAATCTAGATCTAGTCCAATAATTCCTTCATGCAGCTACTGGATAAACTTGCTGAACACTGTAGTCTGGAGAATGCAATTCTTTAGATCATTTCCCTTTTCTGTTTTCTAAAATATTGTCTCAGGAGAAAAAAAGCTCAGCTAAAATCACCTGTTATTAAAGATTACGAAGACTAGAATTAAATGCCTGCCTCATGAAATTTTCAGAGTTTTTTGTGGAATTACTAGGATGGAGTTAGAATGTGGGATTATTTTCAAACAGTGAGATTGCAAGAAAAAGAGTTTCTGTGTCATTAAAGACAAGAGGCCATTGCAGAATCAAACCTAGAATGTGGGTCTCTAGTTTTTTTTATTTTGTGCTCTAAGAAATGGACCCCAGAATAGCTCCAGGGCATCTTGCAGGTTTTATATCTGCCTCCTTCTCATATAGGGAAAAATCCTACCCTATTGAAAGTGAATATTCTAGAAATATTTCAAATTCCATTAAATGAAAAGAGATTGAGAAGAAAATGCTAAGGAAAGTAATAGCTATTGAATTGTATTACACCTATATCCCAGAGCAACAAATCTTACTATTTTTCCTCATTTGAACCTCATTCATGAGAGTTTCGTTGTTAACTTGATCCAGATGACAGATGAAAGCATAGTTCCTTATTGCCACCTTGCTAAAATATTTTGTAAAAGACAGTTTTAATATTACAGTTTTACAGTTACAGATTGCTGTTAAGCTATTTAGTCTGTTACCAGTCAATCAAAGACTTTCATTTCACTTTGGTATATCCTTTCTTAAACTCAACAGACTTTTAGGAGGACAAGAAATATCTGTCAGTTTTCTTGCAATGCTAGGTCATAAATTCTTTGGTAAGTGGGTTAAAAATTCAGTTACACATACCATTCATGACCTTGACAGCTTAGCAAATAGTGATATTGAATGATCAAAGACAACTGTTTCAAGCCCTAAGGGTTAATATACCTGTGCAAGTAGATCTAAGCTGCTTTTAATTCCTTGATCATTCCTTTATTTCAAAATGGATGCAGTATTTTTTTAATGTAGTCAATAAATTGAGTGCAAAAAAAAAAAAATCTGAGGACACAGTTTAGGCTAGAACTAATAAGGCCATACATGGTCTTTAGGAGATAATTAATTGTTGCATTTTACAAATTAACATGTTTTTCTTTTCTAGTATAAAATCAAATTAAAACAGGTTCCTTCTCAGGTGTAGGCCTGTTGTTCTCTAGACATTTTCAAAAAGAACTGTTAGCATGACAACTTTTTTGTCAGAGCTGTGGCTATGTAAATTTTTTGCAACCCCATTTTCAGGTGTGAGAGGAGAATGTGAATCCAAGTTTGGCCTGTGCAATATAACTATGTCAGATAAGGTGTGACTTGTGCAAAGTAACCAGTGGTGCACATGAGATATTGCACAGGCTGAATGCATGTGTGATCACCACTCTAATTTTCATTTATTGTATATTTCAAGATTCCATTTCTTGATCATCCAGAAATGTCAGTATTGAATAATGTGCTGTGCTTTCTAAGCAAATTTAAGAAAAGATCTTGGGTGTCCTTGAATAGGAACTTTCCAGGCATGCTGAAGATGCTGCAGGAAATGATGGCATTGCCAGGTCACTGTGTGGCATTGCCAGGTCACTGTGTGGCATTTCCCCTCTCAGGCAGCACTGAAGCAGCCCCTGAATGTGTTACTCCGGCACCCAGACCATGAGGATTTTCCTTTGGCTGATAAACCAGTGTCCCAACACAAAAACAACTTTCTGTGTGTGCCTGTATGTAGGTATAGGGGTGTGAAGCCTTGGGGTCCTGAACAAATTCCAATGTGGTTAATTAATTCCTTCCTCAAATGAAAATGTAGTTGGCGTTTCAAAGCCTGCTAAATATCAAAAGTTAGTAAAGGGAGAAAACAGAAGTGATGTTAGAGATTTTTGTTTAGAAGGATGTGAAAAGGATTGTACTGTTCCTCGGGATAGCTTTACTTTTGTTCTTCTCCAGAAATCCTCCTGCTTGTCCTCAAAAATCTTGCTTTTGAAAGTTTGAAATCATAAGGTTTTTGTACTTGTTAAGTCAAAGCTAAGCATACCTGTAAAATACAGTTCAGTGTGGAAATGTGGCACTAGGAGCAGCTAAAACAGAGACAAACAGAACATCAAAATTATATCTGCTACCAGTTGAAGAGCTAACAAATAAAAACAAAAAGCTTTTAAAAGTAATGTATTGCGAGGTAAATTGCATCATTTTAAGCAATTCATGGCAGTTTCAAGTCATAATGAAGTTTGGATGGTTTGATGGTTACTTGAGTGGAAAATAAGTTCTCATTTCATATTTCTTGTATATTTTGCTCCCATAACAGGCACACTAAAGGAAGACTACTAGAGCATTAAAATTTCTTTGTGCACATTTTACTGCAATCTGGCATGCAAAAGGAAGAAACATAAGAAGTAGTTTATTTATATTTCAGCACCAAATTAGAAAGATGACATCATTCATTTACAGTTCCTATCCCATGACACACCTAATCCCCAACACCTCATTACAGAGGACACTTTTAGGATTGCATATCTCATCTTGTTTAACTTTTGCATTCTTTATGGAATACAGTTGAAAGGTAGGAAATTTAAGGCTGTTCATTGATAAGAAAATAAACTAATAAAATTTTAGGAGCTTCCCCAAAGAGGCAGAGTATGACAGTGTTTATAGTAAGTGGCTTATTATTTGTCTATTAATTCTCCATCTTTTCCACTCTTTAGTTCAAAAGGCCTTCCTCTTTGAATCTAAAGACAAATAGACCAATCATGATGATTCAGATTGAGTTGATCTTTTTAGCAAAATCATAGAAAGTTGCAACTGAAATTCATACAGCTGTTTTCTTCCATCTTTGTATTTGGGAGGGGGAAAATAAACTATTTCCAGCTGTGTAGATTCTTCTCAGTCTATACCATACTGTGAAAATGCTCTTACAGTGCTATGGAGATACTCAGAAAGTCTGACAGTGCATATCTGACTTGTGATGTTTCCTTTATCTTTTTGATGGGGATGCTGTGAGGGTTTGGTTGGGTTAGTTGGTTGTTTCTACTTAAACTGAAGACAGCTCCCCTCCTGTAAAGAAGTTTTCTCTGATCCTTTATTGAACATCATGTGAAGTGCTTGAGAAACATTGTGACAACTGAGAAATATTAATTGCTGAAAAGGTACATCAGGACTTCCTGGGACTGTGTGGCTGTTTTCTTTGCATTAGACTTTGTTATACTTGAAATTTTATATAATATGAATATTTAGTTTGGTTGGTTTTTTTTTTTTAAATCCCTTTTCAACTTCAGCAAAAAACATTAAGTTGGGGAATTTAATAGCAATCTCCAAGCTTTGCATTTTCAATGAAAATATACTTGCCAGTGAAATTTTCTAAACAGAGACTTTGATGTAGAATTGTTGCTGAAGGAAAATCAAATTACTTCAGTCCTGGAAGTAAATTTACTACATCCTAGCTGTGACACTTGGCATTGGAAGGCAGCTAGACCATTTAATATGGGAACATACTGAATAAATGAGTTGTGTTCAAATTCATCTGCTTCTGTTGGTCCTTTGGAACTTATTGATCTGGCAAAGTCCTGGGGAATGTGTTCAGCTCCCATCCTCAATGGGGTTACCATGAATCCTACTGCCTTGGAGCATGACATCAACGGAGCTAAGACTGCTGTCTTCCTTCAGTCATCTGTGCGGTGTTAACTGTATATGCTTCTAACTGATTATTTTAATTTTGGAAGAGATCTTTGGGTGTTGACAGCATTTTTTCTGGGTTTTGTTAGTGCAAAATTAATTAAAACTTGATTGCAGTTTAACAGGTTTGCCTGAGAGAGTCTTCAGTCCTGGTACCACAAAAAAAATAATATCCATTGGTGTCAGATTATTGGTAGTAAGATATTTTTGGTGTTATGAGCAAGGTTTGACTTATTCAAGTCTATGTATTTCATGGTATGGAATAATTGTAATAGTGATAAAGAGCAGCAATGTATCTTGTTATCCCATGGTGACATAAATTTTATTATCTGTACACAGCTGTAGCTGAAGTGTTGATCTGTTTTTTAAGATCTATATCTTAGACTTACTTCCATTCACTAATGTGTCAAGTTCCATAATCACTTATTTCTCTAAGTGCCTGTGTATCCTAGTTTTCAGATTCATTTTACTTATTGTTTAGCAGGGTGATCCTCGTGTACAATTAAAATAAATTACCCAAAATAGAACTTTTAGAACTATTCAAGGTTGTTGCTGACATGCCTAGGTAGCTAACTGTAAATGTTTGAAATATACTTTATATTCCTTTCAGAGAGATTTAAGAAGTTAATTGCTAAGACATAATGTTAGACTGGAAAAAATAGAAAACAGCTCTAAAATAATATATTTAGAAAAGCTGAATGTCTTTTGCCCTTCAAACACATCATCTGTCATCGTTTACTTTTCGGACTTCATGTCAGTCTATGCATGTGAAAGCTGAAACAGAGAATGTGTTCACATACTTGATTTCTCTATTCCTCTTTCCTTTTCTTTGTAAGCCAGCAGTCTGGATTTCTATTCTTAGAGCCTTCAGCTCAAAAAAAATTCCTGAAAAACCCCCAGAGCCAAGAGATTCCTAAGACACTGTCGGAATAATACATTCCAACATGCAATAAAATTTTCTTGCTTTACAACTTTAACAGACACAAAACAGAATGAAGCTGATGGCTGATAACTATGATGATGACCACCACCACTACCACCACCACCACCATCACCACCACCATCGGTCTCCTGGGAGGACACAACACAACCACAGACCCTCTCCAGATCAGGTTCGTCACCTCTTTCTTCACCCTCAGTTTTATAACTTTGTTATTTTGTTATTTCAGAATAAAATAAATTTTCCGAAGAGCTAATAAGCAATGATACGTTCTTTGAACCGAGGCTAATAGTGCTGGTATTTATTTCCGTCCTGAAATAGTTTAAAATTTTGGCTTTTTGTCTAGTGCCTTTATTTCTCTGGAGTAGAAAAACAGTCTGTAGAAACCAGTAACTCACTTCTGATGAAGGAGCCTGAGGAAAAATTGAACAGTGCTTTTATATGAAAAATCATTTTTTGATGCTAAAATAGGTTATAAGTTCATAATGTCTGGGTAGAAATAAAAGGGAAAAACAGGGATGAAAATATAATGGGGATGTATGATGGACTACTTAATTGAGAGAAGGAGGCTAAGAGGCAAATTACACATTTTTACAGTGACCAGTGGAATCTTGTTAGAGTCAGGAGCAGGTAAGAATGAGAAAACATGATTTCTTGGATACTAACACAAATTAAAAAACCCAAAACCACAAACCATAAACCTGAACAGCATAATATATAATCATTTGAATTCTTGGAACATGTTAAGAACAACTTTTTCTGTCAGAAAGAGGAGACGGGAATTAAGGACTTGCTGTCTTGGTTTGGTTCTGTTTCTGATTAACAGAGATAAGTTGGCTGAGTTTATAAAAGAAGGAAAAATTGTATGGAAGTATCTGTAAAATAAAAAAGTTTTGGCTTTATGCAAGGAATGGAATGAAAAAAAAAGCAAAATGAAGGCAAGAGATGTGAAAAAACAGGTAATAACCACCACAGTCTTGCTGAAACCCAGACACTGTTTTCAACTTATTTAAGAAACCTGAACCTGTGAAAGAAATTTGAGGCACAAGACAATGTAAGAGAGCTAATATTCAGTCAAGTGCTTTTCAATGCATGGTAACAGCTTATTTAGGGAAGAGAATGGATAAGGAACATAATGAAAGTCAGTGTTAAAGCATATTCAAGAACATTGAGATGTTATATGAATAGTAGAAATAGGTGCATGGTTAAAGATAGAGCACATAAAATAGTAGCTATTTTACTAGTATTTACTAACACTTGTACTTTTAATTTTTTTCCTAGGTGGTAGTTTTGGGCCATTCTCTAAAAAAGAATGCAGGTCTGGCATACCCATCCTATATTTAGCGTGCTTGAATTTGCCAAGGAAAATTATATCAAGCAAAATCTAATTTCCTTGGATAGGGCAACTGGTTTTGTGGTTGAAGCAGAAAGCGGTAGCTTTTAATTTATCAGGTGTTTAGCACTGTCCCACCAGATATTTTAATATGCAAATAAATACATAATTTTGTAATGTAATGAATGACTAATGTAAAATTAATTGCAATAATGAAAGTTTTAATTCAAAAGATATATTTTTATTTAAATAATAATGAGATGGGTATGCAACCAACAGACAAATTTTCCATTGCTCATTTTTAGACAGGAGGGCTAGTTACAGCAGGGTTCCAAAGAGGTCTGTCCTTTATCTGATTCTGTGGAGTATTGTTTTTGAGATTATTTCAGTGATGAAATAGAAGTGCCATTAATATTTTTGATTGTGAATAGAGGTGTAAGAAGCCCAAGCACAGCAGGAGCAGTCAAACTGCTCAATAAGCTGCTTCAGTCTTGATAAACTGGAGAGGATCTAGAATAAGTCATGTGAAATTTGGCAAAGACAAGTCTGCTTATAGGGGAGAAGTCACAGCTATTGAGGTAATAGCATGGAAAAAGTAATCTAAATTGCACAGTGGAATACCATTGCAATGAAGTTGGAGCTAATTCTAGGATAGATGTAATACTGAAGAAGAAGCAGGATGCAATTCTGTTCCTTTGAGCACTGCTGAGAGCTCATCTGAAAAGCTGTTTACAGTTTTGATCTCCATACTTTAGGAAACATAGACAAAGTAGAAACGGACAAAAGGAGAGCAACAAGAATGATAGAAGTTTTAGAGAACATGACCTGTGAGGAAGGCTTAAAGAACATGGTTTGTTTAGTCTAGAAAGTACCAAAGGGGAGATATAAGTCTTCTAATACATAAAATGTTGTAAAAAAGACGATGATCAATTGTATTCCAGTGCCCAATGGAGAAAGGCTAGGAGCAGTAAATTTAATTTTGCCAGGAACAACTAGGTTAGTTTTTTAAAAGAAGACTTTTTCACTATGAGTCTAATGAATCTGTAAGTGGAAACAAAATGTGGACATTCTTTCATATATATGTAATGGAAGGTCCTTTCTTGAAGGTTGCTAAGAACAGGTTAGATGAATAGAGCTTTATTTCAGCTTGTGTTGGACTCAGAATTGGTGTTCTGAAGTGCTGTCATCCAAAAATTTCCACAAACTCTGTGAACAATAGATTAGCCTAGCATATGTTTACTTGTAAAGAAAGCAAACAGGAGATTCATAGCAAAATCCTTGCTGCAATAACATTTGAGAAGAGCACAGTCAAGGGTAATCATGAGTGAACTCCAGACATTGCTTTATCTTACATTTTTTCAACCATGGATTTTACTTTTTTCTTTATTTTTTGTATTGTTATTTACCCCTCTTTCCAGTATTCGTTTGTGCAGCAATTTGATTGCTGGGTGGCATAGAAACCTGCATTTCCCATTCAGCATTACACACAAATTCTAGGTATGTGACTATAGTCCCACATGTGATTTAAAAGCACAAAATAAGATGGGAAAATAATAAGCCTGCAAATCATCAGAGGGCATTCTTTGTTTTTTAAGGAGATATAGTTGTGCATGTTGTAGCATAAATACTGTTTAATTTGGTGAATGCTAGGGAGGGATTTTGAAAATTTTCTCACACCTTCTTGAGAGGCAGAGACAGCTGAACAGTGTTAATTTGAAACATTCTTCATTTTTGTAGATAATATTGTATTTTCTAATCCACATACTACACTCATAAAGAGCAATGCATGCTATTATGTCTGTAAAGTATGTACATGGGCAGTGGAGTGAATTTTTGCAACAAAGAGTAAGACATTTCTGTACCCTTTGTAAAGAGAAAGGTGTACCAGAGGGCCTTGGAAAACCTTAGAAGATGCACATCCTGTTTGAAATAGGCATAATTATGAGAAGCTTTCCTCTTCAAGTATTGACATTTTTTAAATTAGTATGTTTTTGTTATAACTCTTACCTGATTTCTAATCCTGCCAGGACCAGCATGTGGCAGAGTGGCTCTAGACCTAGTGAAGAACAGGATCTCTGACTTCTTTTGAAAGAACTAGTTGAGCGCCGTTTTTTAGATACAATGGATGTGTTTTGGTCTTCTGGCTGCTGCTAGGGAACAAAGACAAATTTCCAGACACTTTTAGGCTTTATTCCCTCTTTTTTTGATCTCTAGGGAGAGGCATAGATGGGTGACCTTTTTTTGACATCCTTGTCTGGACCTAACTGTGGTCAAGTTGTAAGGAAACTTCGTAAAGAAGTCTTTTACAGTTGGTCATGATGTGATCTCTAGTTATTTTGATACATCTGATTTTTATTTGACATAAATGAATTTCTGGGGATTGAGTGCTGCCATGTCAGTAACATATACTAATAATTTTTTACTAGTCTTGAAAAAAACAAGAAAAAAAAGATAATTTTGCAGCTTTGCACAAAAACTTAAATTTATTCTCTTCAGTTTTGGCTTGAGAGTTGGCAATCTTTCTTAATTTCCACCTGGAAACATTTTGGCAGTCAGTGTGTGTCCTGAAGTGCAGGTATAATACTCCTAGACTGAAAATGAGCTGAATAAGCATTTTCCTCTAGCTTCAGTTTCCAAGAAACTGTAGTATGTAGCCCCTTGCAGAGTGCATTACAATAATCTAATCTGGATTGTTGCATCTAGGAGTTATCTGGAACAAAAAAATCCTATGGCTAAATAAATTGGAACTTCCAGATTTTGCAGCTGTCTTGCCCCACAGTGCAGACTTTCTCCCAAACCTTACTGTCCAGCTCCCTGACTCGTATTTCTCACCCCTACATCTTTACTGTTTTTCCTTAAACCTTTTTGTCTTGGCCTCAATTGCCCACATCATCTTCCAGTTTTTTTTCCTTTTGTAGAAAATGTTTTGAAGGAAGTGCCTGCTTGTGTCACACCAGTGACTGTATGCTCTGTTTGCTCAAGCAAATTGCTCTTGTTGAAAGTTGTTAGGCATCAGCACATCTGTATTCCCTGCCACAGCTGCCTCTCTGGGCAGCCCTCCTGTCAGCTGTGTCCTTTCAGGATGGGAGCAGGCCTGTGAGTTACCAGCCAGCAGAGAATTCTGCCCTGCTAGCCACAATTCTGGCCAATTTGTGACCTCTAATTCCCTTTGGTTTTCTAATCTCTGGAGCCTCTCAGTCCCTCCCTGTTGGTTTCCTGTTCTGAGTTTGAGGCTCTAGTCACCCATATCCTCTTACTGTTCATTTCTGTGGGCATTTTTCACCCCCTGTTCCAAGTCCTTACAGTCCTCAATTTACTGGCATGTGTGACCAATCTCTAACCAGGATGGTCTCCACATAATGAATAGCAATCCTTGGTTATCACCCAGGACTTCTCCAGATTCGTGAGAACATTAAGATGTGGTTGGCAATTCTAAATTCAAGATTCTGCTTATGGACTACTTAGTAAAAAACTGTAATTGATTACAAAATTGAAAGTGGCATCTCTGCAGGAAAAAAAAGTGTAGGTAATCTGACATGAGTGTGTCTCAGATTAAGTTAGTCTGATGTCATTCTTAAAAGGAAATTAGGCTATTTCAGAGGTCATAGGGAATAACTTGATTCTGCATTAACACAGGGTAAGACTGGAGGTATAATATCTGAATAATTTTCATACTTTAGATTTTATTGCCAATCCTGATGATTATAACAACTATCAAATCTTCTTACTTCCCATAGTACTGGAGATTTTTGAATAAATAAAATGTACAGTGTTCCTAATCTCCTAAGAGTTTCCTGAATACCTGAGCTGTAGTGGATTCAAAGCTGAATTCTTTACTC